TTCCCTTTGGACACACAATTGGAGTAGTTGTTGCAGAATTTCTTCAAGTGACAATTTATTCACCAGGAATTTCAGTTCATTTAGTTGGTTTTCTCCTGCCTTTTTAGTTGAAGATATATCTTCCTTACCAAGTGCCAAAAATCCGGATTAGAGCTACAGTCAGAAACCCAAAATGACCAAGCAATTCATTTTACAATGCTCCAGTTTTTTTAAGAAGGGACAATTCTAGTCCCCTGAGTTAAAAAAAAAATCCAATACTTCTAAAGCACCATGAGATCCATGTAGAGCTGTCTTTGCAAAAATGAAGCTTCTTGATTCTATCTCTATACCTGAGATTCCTCCAGATGCTCTGGTATGTATACAATGACCATATTTTAATAGTCATAGCTTACTGAAGTTAAATACCAGCCCTCTTCAGGGGGACATCAAATTGAGATTCAGGCAAGCAGCAATTATTTTCATCATAGAACATATGCAGGAAGAGGGGAACAGATGTGAGGAGAGGTTCACATTAAGGCAGAGGTAGACCAAAATAACAGACTAAATTGACTCCTTCTAAGATGACAAAAATTATTTTAAATGAGGTTAATCATAGCTGATATATGTGTACATGCATACACAAATATATATATATGTATATAATCATGCATGTATTTATGTATACATACATAGAAGGGTATGTAGGTGGCAAGGTGGATAGAAGACTCATCTTCTTGAGTTAAAATGTAGCCTCAGATACATACTAGTTGTGTGACCCTGGGCAAGTCACTTAATCTTGTTTGCCTCAGTTTCCTCAAGTGTAAAATGACCTAAAGAAGGAAATGGCAAACCACTCCAAGATCTTTGCCAAGAAAACCCCAAATGAGGTCATGAAGAGTCAGACACAACTGAAACTACTCAATAATACATTTATAGACACATATACTTTATATACACATATATACATACATACATGTGGCACACACATGCATATCTATATAGCACTATGTAGATGATATGTATATGTATCATATTTCTGTTCTACATGATATATATGAATTGTATATGAATATACAATACACACACACATACACACACACACACACACACACACACATATATATATATATATCATGTTTCTGGTCTACATAGTACTTTATACAACCATAGGTAGGTTCCCAGGGCATCTCATTTCATCCTTACAATAGCACTAAGTATTAAGTACTTGGAGTCAGAAGACCTGAGTTCAAATCCTTGCTACTTACCTGAATCTCAAACTGATGTTCTCTTGGATCCATTGTTTTTCAGTTGTTTAGTTGTGACCAACTCTACCTGACCATAGACTTTTGTCCATGGGTTTTTCTTGGCTAAGGTACTGGAGTGGTTTGCCATTTCCTTCTCCAGTGTGCCCCCATTTTACAGATGAAGAACTGAGGCAAATGAGGATTTAGTGACTTGCCCAGGGTCACATGGTTTATAAGTGTCTGTGACCGGATTTGAACTCAGATCTTCCTGATTCCAAGGCTAGTGCTCTATCCACTGCAACACTAGCTGCCCTTAGGTCCCTTATACCTCTGCAACTATTATAATCCTCTGACCTATGTTTACTAATAGTATCATTACACAAAAGTACTTAATTTAAAGCAACCAAACAACATAGCTTTTACTTAGCTCACTTAACTGAATGAGTGACAGTTTATGGAAGAGAAAAGTAGGTAAGCAGATAGATTGTATCATTGATTGAGTTCTGGAGTGTTTTCTTTTAAACTGCCTCTGTGCCTGTAGGTCTTAATTCTTACATTTCTACAGTTTTCACATTTTATAGTTTCCCTGGTTCATTTTGTTTTCCAGTGAGCTCCCAGAGCTACACCAATGTGTATTTTTTTTGTTTCCAAAAAATAGAGACAGAGATCCCCTAAATCACAGAAAGTACAATAACAAAATCCACAATATATTGAGAATGGCAGCTCAGATTTGCAGAATATTTTGTTCACTTAGGACTATCCTTACAGCAATCCTGTGAGGTGTTCAGGGTAAGTATTATTTCAATTTTGCAGACTAAAAACTAAGGTGTAATGATTTACCTATTGCTACCTGGCTACTATGTGGCTCAAGCTAGTACATCAGCCCAAATCCTCTGACTTCAAAAGTCAAAATGCTCCTTACACCATACTACCTTGTTAGGAGGCAAGGACTGGGAGATGAATATCCCTAAAGTTTGACCCTGAAGGGGATGGGGCAGATTTCTGCTTGGGAAGATGATGATGAATGTGATAAGGCAAAGATGGCTCTAGTCATTTAATCAACATTTTCCTACTATACCAAGAACAATCCCAGTTAAAAAGACACTGTCTTAATGAAGATTCTTCAGGTGGTATCTACAGAAGAGGAATATCAAAATTTTAAGGCAGTTATTGCCGCACACAAGAAATATTTGGCTAAACACAATAGAATAGGGGATAAAGGACCATTCTGAAGCCAGGTTCAAAAGCCTAGAAATGACCAAATGAAATCCAATACAGAAACATAAAATATGCTCTTGGGTTTTGTTTTGTTTTTTTAAATTATGTTATTAAAAATTGTTGTTTGTCCTTCATTCTTGAAGAGGACCATGACATCAGGAAGGTGATGCGCAACTTGCAAGTGAGGATTTAAGTGAGAGAGGGCTGTGCAAAGTCACCAGCCTCACTTTCTCCCCCAGATTCATCTGGGTCCAGTGGTAAGATATAGATCAGGATGACTGCATGCCCAGATGCAGTGGGAAACCTCGGCCTTTTTAAGCTAAGGTCTTCCCCAGGTGTCAGTTTGACTGGGGCAATCTACACCCATTCAGTGATTTTACCTAGTCAAAAAGAAAAATCAATCTGGGAGGAAAAGACCCTCAGGGTTTCTGGCCAAAACAGAAAGAATTGCTATTTATACTCCCTCTGAGCCATCCAGGCCCAAACAATGACCAAGGGAGTTTTGGGCTGGGATCTACTGTTGACCCATCAATAAGAGCCAGAGTGATTTGGATTTAAGGCAATAGTCCTTAAGAAAGAAATCTAGCTGGCAAACCCCAAGATATCTTTTGAGGTTTCAGTGATCAAAATTTATATTTCTTTGGGCATAAAAGGTAAGGGTATGGTAACCTATGTGGAGAGAGGGAGAGGTACTGTATGGTGGAGATCCCACTTCACAGTTCTGGTTGAAAAGTTGGCTGAGTTTGGGTTACCTACAGGCTCAGGAAGTCAAAGATATGACCTACCTCACTGAAAAACCTGGGAGCTCATGTTATTCTTTCTCCAACATTCTGGAAGAAGACCAGTGGCAACAGGAGGGTGATGTTTTGATTTATGAATGAACCAGATTTAAGTGAGGCAAGGCTGTGAAAAAGGTCATTAGCCTTTGTCCTCCAGAGTCATCCAAGTCCAGTGGCAAGACAAAAATCAGACCCCAGATGCAGTGGCCTTTAAGAGCTATACCTACAGGGAAGTTCCAGTGTAACCTCAGCTGGTCAGATTCCATAATCGAGTATTGTGTTCGGTTCTAGGTGCCACATTTTAAGAGGTCCTGTGACAAAATGATACGCTTTTATGGCGTTTACACTTTAACCTGGTTTTGTGCCGTGGCTCTCTTTGGCAGTCTGGGGAAGTCCACAGAACCCTGTTTTTAAATGCACCAAATAAAACATCTAGGAGTACAAAGGAAGCCAATTATATTGAAATACTATTATCAGAATATTTTACAACAATTTTGTAGGCCTCAAGTTGAGAGCTTCTGTTCTAAGGGTCTAGGGGAAAAAAATACTGGAAAGAAAACCATTTGAGGACAGAGTGATGGACCGGGGACATATACTAGAGAAGAAACTTAAAGGTACAAGACAGAAGACTTCAAATATTTGAAATATTGTTACATAGGAGAGAGGTTAGACTTATTCTATGTGGCCCAAGAGGACAGATGCAGAACTAGTTACTAGGAGGTTGCACTCTCCAAAACTGGAATGGGCTGCCTTGAGAAATAAGGAGAAAGAATCCTATCATTCAAAAGTGTTTGAGCATAGTAGATCACAACTCATCAGTGATGCAAGATATCCTGGAAGTTCCTGCAGTGGGTAGATATTAAAAAATGGTTTTGTCTTGGGGTCACAGACTTGGAGCTGGAAGGAAACTCAAGGGGCCATTGAGTCCAACCCCTTATTTACCTACTACCTACCTAGAGCAAGATTTGAGCTCCTATTCTGCCTGACCTCAGGCCCAGAATTCTATCTATTATGCCAACCAACTGCCCAGGTTCCTTTCGACTTTCAAGATTTTAAGATCTCCTTGCAATGTCTGTGAAAATTACTAGAGCATACATTTGCCCACGTTTGTAAAATAAACCTTTCTAGTATTAACTGAATTTGACTTTAATTTTGCAAAGGCTACTTGCAGAACCCAAACCTTATTTTCAAATCTATCCATCACACCAGAGAGAAAAACTGAAAATATTAAAAAAAAAAGAAACTACAAAATGTGAAAAAATGTAGAAGCATAAGCATTAAGACACACACAAAGGGGGAAAAAAGAGCACTGAAGAATATGTTGCCAATCTTTGAGGACAGACAAGGATGGGGGTGGCAGGGGGAAAATTTCCTGTACATCCATAGGGTGACTGGTACCTTGAGGACTCCAGAACCATTATAGCTTTAATATTCACAGGGAAGCATATGCCAAGGGCCACACAAAGAAGAACAGAAAATGAGGGAAGAACCATAAAAAATGCTACTGCAAACAGATGAACAGTACAGAATAGTTTAAGAACAAGACCTATTTTAACTTTTTTTGTTAAAAAGTCTTTTTGACTTGAAACTTCAAGCTCATGCTGAATCCATATTATGACAAATGAACAAAGTGAATTTTTTTTTAATTTTGAGATGGCTGACACAAATTTACCTGTGTAGCATCCAGAAAAATTTTTTTCCAGATTTTCCAGACCAATTAAACCATTCAGATCATATGGGGGAGGATCACCTCTAGTTAGAGAAGGGGAGAAAGGAAAGGTAGGACATTAAAATTTTATTCTGAAATGATCTCTGGCCACAACAATAAAATTCAACAAATATTCACTAAACAGTCTATCTCCTGCCATCAGCTGTACAATACACACAGTATCATAGAACTGGCCACTAGGATTAGAATCCACTATAACATATTTAATGTTCAGTGGCGACAGCAGCATCTCACAGATTTTTTTTTACATACATATATACAATCCACATTCAATCGTTTTTTTCACATATTTTCAGTACACACAGTTGCAGCATATCACAGTCACGTTGTCTAAGTTGTCGCTTGATAAAAACCCAAGCCACTGCCTAGACATAATTGTAGCAGTTGAGCCGAGTAATTACAATGACTTCTGATATATTTTCATAGCAGAGATGTACAAGCCCCTAGAAACAAATCGTTCACGATGTGTGTGTCTTAATGCTACTGTAGCACTGAATTGGGCAATATTAAAATCTTTACTGACAGAATCTTTTTTTGAAAAAAAAATCTTCTGCTTACCAGAAATATCTTTTTGATGAGAAAAAAAACCTACAAAAACAAATGGCATCTCTTCAAAATAATCCATGCTTCCATTTGCTGGCTTAAAAGATTCCAATATGGCCCAATGCTACTGATGTCTAAAGTGTTTTCTAACATTCTGATGGAGTGATTTCGTATGACTCCAAACCACCCATTCAGGTAAAAGTGGCTTAAGTGCCTCGCACCCAAATTGTAAAAATTCCTGGCTTTGCCTTAACTAGAGCCAGGTTCATAGAAAAGGAATGCACTTTGGTTCAAACCAAATGCCCTGGGATTAATCACACTATAAAATTAAACAGTTTGAGGTAAATTTTACAAATACAGTTGATTTCTGTCTAGTGTTCACATAACAAAAAAATAGCTTTTAAAAAATCAGTCTGATGTTAAGATACAAATAACTAAGGAATGCTGTCTTCAACCCTTTAAGTAAAGTAGGCAACACCTGTGTGTGGCAAGGTGGTGTGTGTTGAGACACCCCCATATGGCGAGTGACTCATGCCTTATGGTTTGCATTAAGGCCTTTGAAAGTTAACTTGATGTTTGAAGACAGGTTTACCTTTTTAAAATAGGTTCCTGGTCCTTACTACTTCATGTTCAAAGGGTCAGAGAAGCCCAGATGCATGCCTTACAACATGGCATTCAGAACAAAAGGCACATTGTTAACACTAAGGGCACGATTTTCATACTCTATTGTTAATCTACACAGTCTTGCATCATTCTGTCCTTCCACTGTTTTAGCAATACACTTAAGTGGCAATAAACACTCCAGTGGTGCAAGAAACTGAGCCAAATGAGACTGCAAGCAAAGACAAGACAACACGGTGCTATTACTTGGTCTGAAAACAGCTCAGACATCCCTAGACAATGGTCACCTGTGAGGCTAAGTGCTGTTTCCAAGCCAACTCCTTGCAGCCTATCAGAGCCCTTAATAAAATAATTTTTGAATTTACATCAAAGCAAGATGCAACATTTTTCCTTCTTTACATTATATATATATGTATATATATGCTAGAATATTTTAAAGCAGCCATATCACAGAAAGCTGTTAATATAGCAGGATTTTTTTTTTAAGTATAGAGGAAATTTCACTGTATTTGGGGTTAAAAAAATATCTCTGCACACTCAAGTTTGGCCTAAAAGTTTCCGGTTGCATTTATGAATAGTCAGTCACAAATGCATTATTGGCATTTTAAGAACCAGTTGGGTGGGAGAAAAAAAAATTTAGAAAAGAAGACAAGTGGCATTAACCCATCAATGACTGTTTTTAATTGTTTTATTATGAAATGTATATTAAAAGCAGGCTCAGGCTCAGGCTTCAATATTTAAAACTAAATATTGACAAACTGGAAATTAAAAGGGGAGAGGAGAAGCAAAGGAATAAGGAAAAGAAAAATTGAGTCTTGACATTTTTGTTTTGTTGATTTCATAAGGAAATTAACCATCATTAAGACTTGTGGTTCACAGGGCAACCAAACCTCAGATTTCCTAGGGTTGAATGTTACTACTAAATAAGCTGATATTTAAATTTCAAAAGCCATCGATCAGGTTGTATATCACATTAGTATCATTTAAAATGCAACACTCATCTATTATTGCACTCTCACAGATTACATAGAATTAATTGCATTCGGTATTCTACAACATTTTATTTGGACTAGGGCCAAGAAGCTATCATTTTTAAATAAAGAAAAAGTACAGATTAATTTATTGGTGACAACTTTAAATATTAAAGTAAATATCAACACCAATACCTTAACAAAAATGAATTTTAATTTTAAAGTATTGATTTTTTGGCAAATATTTGTGTATTTCCTGAGCATTTTTCTCCACTATTAACCAACCCAAGAGGCTAAATAAAAGGTTTTGTTCAAAACTGTTTTGTTATTTTGAAAAAAAGAAATGAAGTTGTGAGATAAATAGGAGAAGAAATTAACCGGAAACTTTCTTGGCCTCACTGGGGACCATGCTTTAAGTACTTGTAAAACAATTTACAGGCAATTTAAGATTCTCTGTTCATATAAAAATCATTTATGCTAATTTATTACCCTAACTAAAGCCTCTTGTCCAAATAGCCAGAAATCTTTCTATATTAAATTACACATTCTGTAACATTGTTCTTTTGCCCTCACTTATCTGGTGCATCTCACTGTTGATCAATTTGTGATGAAATACTGACTTTGTAGTCATAGGAATCATTACTATTCAGAGAAGAAGTATTCCCTTTCCTAATGCTGGGTAATTATTCTTCTAGATGAAGTGTCTTCCCTATAAAAATGAGAAATGCTCTCCAAATAAAATATAAAATAAAATAATAGGAATGTAATTTCTACTCTTCTTTCAATTATCATTCCTGGAGAATAAGTAAAAAAACCGAATGTGTCCTTAAATTATTCCTTTTTTTTTTTGTGCTGGTGTGAATCAATCCTAACCGGGGCAGCTACAGGTATTTCCGTTAATAGAGGAGATTTAACTTTTTCTTAGTGAAGAATAAGTTCTTGGGCTAAAAGAAACTTTTGGTAGCATCTTGGTTCAACACGTAGCTAGTCAATCTAGTTTTTCTCCTAGAGTTTTCAACTGAAGTCATAATCCATCAGAAATGAAAAGTCTTCTCTATGTTAACAATCCAGGGGTCTACTTGAAAGAAAAATAAGCAAACTGTGGCTGCAAGCAAGAGATATCAGAGTGGGACAAGGAGGAGGGCAGGGGGGCGTTTAGGTAAGGAGTGAATGAAGGGACAGAGAGAAAGAGAAATACTCCATGGGCTACGCATCTAAAATTAGGTTTAAAACATTTTGCAATACATGACTTTCTCTTTACAAAGCTGCTCATCTGTCATATTGTAAGATGTAGAAGAGTGCACAGATTCCCATCTTCATTCATCCACCCACAGTCTGCTTCTCTAGCTTTTTACACACTATCTGAATGCTAACAGGGCAAAAATTTATCTTACGGATTTTATTTTTGCTTTTGTTTGGACACTGATCTTAAGAGTGACCTTTCAAAATATTATAGGACACAGCTGTACCTTCAGAGGACAGATCACTTCCACCCTAACCACTCCTACCCCTACATCCCAGGTAATGTTATGGAAAACAACAGTACACACTCCATTTGTGGGCAAATGTTGAAGATGGGGAGAGCCCTACGGGGCAACCACTCTGAGGAAAATATAATAATGTGAACCCATAAAAACATAGTGAATTATCTTTGACACCAAGCTGTAATGCATGACAGTCATGTTGTAATCAATGGCCTGCCACTGATATTTATTACTCTGCCACACGAAATACAGTAAGGCTCATCATACTTTAGAAGACGAAACATTCTTTAAAACTATAAAAACTTAAAGCATTGTCCCCATATACTTTATAAAAACAAAATGAACAACTCTTACATTAAAATAAGTGCTAAAAAGATACAAATAAGTAAAATTATTGAGCAAATGAAAACATATCTGAGCTACTTGTTTCAAATGAATAAGGCCCAGCAATATAGTATCTCTCGGATTACCAGCATTAGGGCACTCAAGCTCAGCTAACAAGTTTTGGCAACACTGTCCTCTGCTGAATATTCCCATTGGCATCTGTCATTTGTGCCAAATTAGTCCTTAGTTTGGATGCTGAGCTTGAAGGTGGAGGTAACTTGGAAATAGACGTTATAGCACCAGTGCTCTCTGTTATCCGTTTTGCTGTTGTTTTCTCCCCAGTTGGAGGCTTTGGCAAGCGCCTCCGAAGCCAGGGATGTCTCAATGCCTGGCCGGGGGTCATGCGTATGGCAGGATCCCATTCTAAACACTGTTTCAAGAAATCAAGGAAAAGAGGATCGTCACACCCCTTAAGTGCAGTCCCCCACTCTCTACTCTCTGGTGGGCCCCTCAGTTTCCCCCTTCGGGAGCGGCCGCCATTTAGAATGATGGAACCATCAGACAAAGTTGTAACAGTGCAGTACCGGGGATAACCCTTAGAGCTCACAAAATTTTTGGCTCGTTTGGATGCATCTAGCAATTTGGGGGCAGGCATGCCCAAGAGTTCAATCATACAGGCCAGCTGGTCCCCTTCGTCTTCCCCAGGCAAGAGAGGGTAACCTGTCAGGAGCTCTGCTAGAATACAGCCCAAGCTCCACATATCGATGGGCATTCCATACCGAGCACCAAGGATCACTTCCGGTGCCCGATAAAAACGCGACTGAATGTACGTGTAGACACGCTGATGTTCATAACAACTGGAGCCGAAATCAATCACCTTAATACCACTCCTACCCTGTTGCTTTAATAAGATGTTCTCGGGTTTAAGGTCACAGTGAATGATTCTATTTTTGTGCAAAGCATCCAAGCACTGCAAAATCGAATGGGCGAATTTTCGAACCAAGGGTAAGCTGAAGCCCTGAAATTTGTTCTTCTTGATCAGCTCATAGAGGTTCATACTCAGCAACTCAAAGGTCATGCATATGTGGTTGCGGAAAGTGAAGTTCTCCAGCATGTGGATGACGTTCATGTTGTTGTCCTTATCCTGCTTCCGCAGGTGCTCCAGGATCCGGATTTCCTCTGCGGCCTGCCGGTGGAAACGCTTTTCATTCCTCACCATCTTGAGGGCAACGTGTTGATGCACTTTGTGGTCATAGGCCTTCACCACCTGTCCAAAGCTCCCTTTCCCTATGACCTTTAGGACTTCGTACCTATAAGCAATGTGATCATGGGGCACTTGGACATAAGAGCCCTGATCATCATCATAGCCACCATTGTTTGGGCCACCGGTCGTGCCCTGGCGTTTCTTCGCATTTGGACCCAAAAAGTATATTTCAGGGTAACTGAAAATCTCATGGTGTTCAAAGGCCGTTAGCTTTAGCACATATTGCTTCATTGCCTGTTCCGGTGTCATAGAGGCGGCTTTCACTTTCCCAGTCCCTTCTACAGACTTCAAAGAGCTGGAGCTCCCTTGACGTCTATGAATGCTGTCCAATTGTCTGTCTTGTACTAGTGGCAATCCAGTTTTACCAACTGTTGTAAGCCCGTTTGGTTGTGTAGTAAGAACTGTCCTCTTATTACTATTATCTTCGAAAAGCTGCTGTACCTGGAGTTGTGTGTGGCTGCCAATGACCAGGTGATCATTCACAACGTGCTTGCCACCAGTAATCTAGAAGTCAAAGATATAAGTCGTGATTAGAACATAAAGGCTCTCTCTATGAACTAAGCATTCTATACGTCAACTTTCCTTCCACCTTGCCCCATATAGCTTAATTTACATTTCAGAATTAAATTTGCTAGCAAATTGAGGGTTATATACTCTGGAGGCATTCCATAAACATGGATCCACAAGATGGCAGTGAAGATGCTGAAAGCCCAGAGGAGAAGGAAGAGGAAGAGGAAAAAGAGGAGAAGGAAAGTAAGAAGGAGGAGGAGGAGAAAAAGAAGCTACCTTCCCCAAAGTCACCCTATCTCCATAGGCACTTTGTCTTCCTCTCCATCCTCCACCTATTGCTATGAATTTTGAGCTTTTACACAAAGATGGGCATGAATCATTTACTGTTGGGCCAGAGAACACCGTGTGTGTGTGTGTGTGTGTGTGTGTGTGTGTGTGTGTGTGTGTGTGTGTGTGTAGCAACTGGGATTAAGTGACTTGCCCAGAGTCACACAGCTGGTGAGCATTATGTGTCTGAGGCTGGATTTGAACTCCAGTCCTTCTGGCTCCAGGGCCAGTGCTCTATCCACTATACCACCTAGCTGCCCCCAGAGAACACTCTTAATGGAGAACAAGATCAGTCAATCTTGGACATGTATTCATTTCACCAAATCAAATATGGAGATACTCACAGCGACATCTTATAAAAACCTTACCCTATTTATCTAAAAGGTCTTGTACTTTTTATCAGAGCTAGGGCCACAAAAGATCATCTGTTCTGACAAATAATTCAACCCCTTCACTTTTTCCAGGGAGCCATTTGGTCACTAGCTCAAGTCAATCCAGAAGACTACATCCTTGTGCTACAGGAAAAACTCAGGGCATTTTGTTAGCAATTTCAACTTCAGGTATGCATGCCACCATAAAGGTAGCATTCCTCTCCAAAAAGTTCATTAATGTGAGTATGCCAGGGGTCCCTAACCAGCACTGTGATGGAATGGGAACATTCCTGCCTTTCTAACACGCTGCTTAAGTGACCTGATAGGGCCTCAGTTTCCTCATCTGAAAAATGAGAGGGTTGGCCTTCATGGTCTATAAAGTCCTTTCCATTTCTCCATGTTTGATCCTGGGAAGGACTGCTTTCAATTTTCCATTGTGGACAGAGCGCTGGGTTTGGAATTAGAGCACTTGCATTTGAATCAATCAATAAGCACCTACTATGTGCCAGGCACTTTGGATACAAAAAGAGGCAAAAGACAGTCCTTTCCCTCGGGGGCTTACTGTCTAATAGGGAAGATAATCTGAAATCAAATATCTATAAAACAAGCTATGTACAATATAAATAGTAAATAATTATGACTTAGAAAACACTGGAATTCAGAGAGGTTGGGGAAGGCTTCCTGTAAAAAAGACTGGATTTTAGTTGGTACTTAAAGGAAGGCAGGGAGGTCAGTAATCAGAGCAAAGGAGAGAGAGTGAACTAAGCATGGGAGAGAGCCCACGGAAATGTCTGGGGCCAGAAAAATGGAACAGCCAAGAGGCCAGTGTCACTGAATTAAAAAGGATGTGTTTTGGAAAGGTAAGAGGAGGCTAGGCTATGAAGGGCGTTGAATGCCAAACGGAGCAGTTTGTATGTGTTACTGGAGGCATTTAGAAGCCACTGGAGTTTATTAAGTGGGGGGTAGGGAGTGGCAGGTGACACGGTCAGACTTGCCCTTTAGGAAATCTCTTTAATGGCTGAATGTAGGCTGGACTGGAGTGGGAAGAGATTTGAGCCAGGCAGACCCACCAGCAGATTACTGCAGTAATCCAGGGGTGAGGTGATGGGAGACTGATTTTGCTACTTCCCAGCAAATAAATCACTTAAACTCTCTCGGTATCAGTTTCCTTAAAACAAGGGGTGTTGAAATTAGATGCTACCTACATATTTAGATAGATATTTATACCTATCTATTTATATCTACTTATCTACATAGAGACATACAGATAGATATAGATATCTATATTTCTAAACTCTATGTCTAATATTCTTTAAATTATCTGAGGTCTATATCTTATATACGTAGATATATTATTTCTCCAGAGATACACCAGATACATATGTGCATCTGGAAGGTCTTTTCCAGTTTTAAATCTAGGATCTTCTAATCATAAGATCTGCTTTACAGGACAGTTGGGCCTGCTTGGTGGAAATATAACAACGTACTATGTAGCACAGGATAGTTTCTGTTAGTAAATGGTAATTTAGTAGCATAATAGCCAACCACTATTTTTAGTGATTTTTTTCTTAGTGGATACTATGTATGCAGATGTGGAAAGTATGTTAGCTATTTGCATAGTCAGTTTTGTTACATGTACACTTCGAAGGCATTTGACATTTCAGGCCGTCAAAAACAATGATGTATGCTCGTAAAGTTTTTAAAGGCAATGAAGAATGGAATTTTTTTTCTGTTATCAATTTGCCAATGCTTTTAAAAATGAAGGTTTTAAAGAATACATAAATTGCACAAATTATCACTTTTACTGTATACCAAACACCGGGTAGCACAATTCTTTGTTATAAGGGATGTCTTGTGGGGATGGTGGAGGGGAAAGACTAAAAGGGAAAATCTAGGTAATGTAAAAACAAAATATATGAATGAAAAGATATTTTTAAAAATACTGGGCAGATTCCTAAATGGTAAAATTAGGGAAATAAAGGTAGCAGGATACTTATAATGCTTGCCAGTCTAGTTTCCAGCTGTTCTCCCCAATTTCCCTTTTTTTAATGGCCTCAAAAACAAAAAGAAATATGAGCAAGCCTGAAAATTAAAATGCCCAAATCTTTCCAAGAGAGTCAATCTGTCCAGGTCAAGGTAGAGAAACTCTAACAGCAGAGTTCAGGAAAGCCTAAGCTGCCACAGCAAGGCTATAAAAGTGCTGGAGCTTTATTAGGGAATAAATAAAATTAGGGACTTTGGAGGCTTCTCAATGGCATTAGAGACATTTTGTTTTAAGTGTAAAAAGTTCAACTTGGTATTTGAGAACTTTCAAGATTTTTTAAATAGACATTTCTGTGTTTTACATAATTGTAAATATAAATTATGGAATAGTTGTAGGTTCCAGAAACAAATGATTTTGTTATGATTTAACTATCAACAATCCCTGGTCAATCTCCATATTGGACTGTATTATTTTTGAGAATTGCCTTACATAATATTATAAGAAAACATGAAATCAAAGCCCAGGGGATTGACAAATATCTCTAGGGATCAAAGTCTCCAGACCTTGAGTCTTGTACTGTATTTATTATTGAGACTTTGAATTCAGTGAAAGCTCATTTTAAAATAAATAACAATTCTACATAGCAGATCCATTGTCCTAAACCTGGGAACAATTTGTAGCAGCCTAAAAATTCTCTGGGGGAAGGGGGGAAGAAGAAGTTAGTTAGAATTACTTCCAGAATATACAACTGCCAGGGATAGGTAATAAACTCAAGACTTAAAAATCAATACCTCTTGTACTGTCCCATGATGTTGCCAGACAGTCTCTAATCTAGACTAGCTTGTTTCCATTGTAAAAATTCCTCTGATCACCGAACTCTGCTCAAAGAACACTTTTTTTAAAAAAAATGTTGAAAAATATAACAAAAACAGTGCTGTACTCTGTGTGGTAATTTTAATCACTGCCAATAATACAATGACAAACCCTTGCTAACTCAAAGAGCTAACATTCCCAAGTACCTTAAATGTCATAATACACCACTCTGATGTCATCAAAAGCATATTCTAGTGGTCTAGGAAAAGACAGAATCCAAGAAGGCTAGAATTTCAACTCCACCTTGTACACCATCTGTTTACATTTCTCTGCTTTGAAATACTTCCATCCACTAAATGGGGATGCTACCAATTATTGAGTCCCCATTGAGTTCTGGCATGGGTGATTAATACTTGGAGAAAGATTTACAAAGAATAGCACCATGAAATGTTATCAAGCTACATTTGAAAATTAAATGAGGAAAATGCTACAGTAGTATCTCCCATATGCTTCAAGACAACCCGTAAAAGGATACCTGGAATATTTTTAGCTCAGTGCTCAAAGGTAAATAAAGTGAATGGAGATATATCATAGGGGTGGACATATAGATAAGAGAGACACAGACAGAGGGAGAAAGAGACAGAGACAAAGACAGAGAGATAGAGGCAGAGGCAGAGACAGAGAGAGATGAATAGATGATAGATGGAAATAGATACAGAGATGGATGGATGGATAGATGGATGTCACATACATACAGAGAGTCAGGAAGAAGAGGGTAAAGGGGACAAGTTAAGTCTCAAAGTTCATAATCTTTATGTTATATGTGTAACCTAACATTACCTTTTAGGGCCCTCCTTACTATAATGTATGCAAAGAGACACTGGGGCAAGCACCTATGACAAGATCATTTTCTCCCTCCAGAATGTCTTGTTTTTTTCCACTCATTTAAAAATAGCTCTTCCCAGGTCTAACTGTCCTAAAATTAAAAATAAAAACTTCTAACAGCCTGCCAAGTGTGAGGAGATATAGGTTCAGAAAAGTGTATTAGCCTTTCTCTATAACCTAGAAACACTTACTAGAATTGACAGCCTCAGCCAATGTGCAGTAGTGGGAGTTAAATTCAGTTACCATGTGACCTTGGGAAGCTCAGCTTCTCTGGACCTCATTTGCTTCAGTTTACTCTCTGTGAAATTTCTGACTACTATGCAATGTCTCCCCCTGACCAGTCTCCTTCTACAGAAAAAAACAAAAACAAAAAATCCCAGCAATTTCCTAACCCATAAATATCTAGTAATTGACAGCTCATGCAGAGTTCACACACAGGTCCAGCAAGCTGATACCAAGATGAGCTCTGAGACAGGTAGTTGAATAATAACCCCAATAAGATTTCTGATACACCAAAGTGAAATAAAGGCAGCCAGGTATGGCAGTGCATAGTGTTACACTTGGAGTCATGAAGAACTGAGTTCAAATCCTACCTCAGATACCAGCTATATCACCCTGGGCAAATCATTTAAACTCTCTCAGCCTCAATTTCCTCTTCTGTAAAATTGGAGTAATAATAGCATCCTCTCCACAGGGTCGTTATAAAGATCAAAGGAGATAATACAGTCAAAGTGTTTTGCAAACCTTACAAATGCTACTATTATTACTATTATTGTAGTGTATACTCTATAGAGGCCTTCTTTTAAATCAATCAACTATTTTCATTTCAAAGGGTTCTGAAGTGCAAATTGGTTCTTTGATCAAAAAGGCACCCCTCTATCAAACTGAACTCTAGATATAAATAGGGCACTTTCTTCTAGTAGATCATAGCTTTCTGTATCAGCAGCCTACTTACCTGTGTGACCCTGGGCTGTGTGACCTATGATCTTGACTACTTCATATCTCTGGGCCTCAGTTTCCTCATTGGTAAAATGGCCACTGAATTACATGACCAATCAGGTCCTTTTCCAGATCTAAATCTATGATTCTATGATAGTTAAAGTTGGGAAAACTTGGAATCATAGATTTAAGGCTGGATGGAACTCAGAGTCATTACAACATTTAGTAAAAACCTGGACTTAACCTATTTAGTAAAATATCAGATGATACCCCCCCAAAAAAAACAGGCTCCCAAAAAACAAAATACCCTAAAATATTTGGTTGCAACAAATATATTTTCTAATGCATATTTTCTAAGGCATTGTATAATAATACAAATCTGCCTGTACCTGTGCCCATAGTCCAATATAATATCTAAGTTCTATAGTGAATTCTTAGCTCACTAATGTCCTAGATTAGTATTAGCAAAACATGCCATTTTATAGATCTGAAGTGGGGGATATGGGGGAAATTCAACATCCCCCTTCATAAGCATGAAGAGGCAGTTATATCAACCTTGTCACCCACTTGTAATGTCTCTTTCTGAACAAAAAGAAAAAAAAAAGCATTACTGGGGAAAAAAAAAAGAGGGCAAGGCCTGAATTTCCATCTGTTAAGTGATGTCATTTCTGGGGCAAGCACCTGCCAGATAGAGCTGCCCCATCCCACCCCACCCCTGACTCTGGAAAACACTCTTAACAGTGACCACAGATGGCTGTCTGCCCAATTGAACTGGATTGGAGGATCTGGCTGAAGAAAGAGGGAAAGGGCCCATCACTACCTCCAAACACATTTCTTCTCTTATTGCAGAAGTCATCCATGATCTGTCCATGAGAGTGGAGAAAAAGCACTGATGGTGCAAAATTCAGTTTTGTAACCCGCAGAAGGAACAAAATATTTGGGCTTCCTGGCTTCCTTCTTATTAAAATATTTAGATATTTGTACCTTTCTCCCTATGATGACAGGGCTATTGGTTACCATTGCTATAATGTCAAATTGTAGGGACCTAGTGGTTGTTGTGCTTTTAGCCTTGATGGTCTTTTATTTTTTCCTCCTATTTTAATTACTCCCTCCATTGAGATCAAACTTGTAACACTCATAAAACATGCCTATACAAGCAATGGGTCATTGGCACGGCTCCCTTCTGGCTAGTGAGAGAGGTCTGGGAGGTTCATTCAGGGATCAATTTTCCGGGTAGGGCCCAGTGACTCTGCCCTAGCACATTTGTTTCTATAAATAACTACATGGGGGTGGGGAAGGGGTGCTTTATGAGCAGGAAGGGATGGCATGGGAAGGCAGGAAGAGAGAAGGCAGGCAGCAAGGAAAGAGGAAATACAGTGGGGGGAGAGAGAAAGAAAAGGAAATCCTCCTTTGTGGCTACAGGTTTTAGGACCTGACTTAGTTGAGTCAGGACAGCACGGTATGGTTATCTAGCCATCTGAGTTCAAATCCAAGCCAAGCCAAAGTATTCCAGAGTCATTTCTCACCTCTGGGCCTCAGTTTCCTCCTCTGTAAAACACAGGAGGTAGTCTAGATGGCCTTTAGTGCCTCTCTCAGCTCCCTGGGTGCAGGAGTTAGTTCTAAGCTTGCCCTTCCACCTTCCAGCTCCCAGTGTGGAAAGGCACAAGCCTCGGTGTGGCCACCTCTCGGTGGCCCTTCTCGGGCTCTCCTCCCTCCATTTCCCCCCGGGGGGCTCTCACCGTGTGGGCCGCGGCAGCGGCCGCAGTGTTGCTGGACCTGAGAGGCGGCAGGGTGAGGGGGGACGGCGGGCCAGTCCCCACTCCGCTCCGGGGAGCCCCAGCTCCGAGTCCCGGCGAAGCCTGCAGCTGACGGACGGTGCTTTCCCCTCCTCTGCCTGGGGAAGACACGAGGGAGACAAAAGAGAGTCAGAGAGGAAGCGAACGAGAGGGGCCTCGGCCAGCGCCCCGAGACCAGCCGGGGGCCCTCTCCTGGGCCTCGCTTGAGCCCGTAGGAGCAAAAACAACACCCCCCCGTGGGGGAGGGGGTAGTACTGTGAAAGGGGAGGCGCGGGCCCCGCACAACAGCCATTTGGGGCAGCGGGGGGGAGTGGGGGAGGACGGACGTCCGGGAAAAGTTAATGACCAACGCTAAGCACACCAGCACACAGCTCTCGGATCCGCCTACTCCCCATTAGGGTCGCCAGCATTTGCAAAGTTAAAGCAATCTCTCAGGCGCGAATAGAGATTAAGAGACTAGAAAGAAACTGCCTTTTGGGGGGACTTGGTGCACGTTTTAGGCGACGTCTGGCGAGGAGGGGGGGGAGGTTTGATGGAGGGTGTATGTCAGCTCGAGCCTCTGTGTGTGTCTATGTGTGTTTGTGTGTGTTCATATGCTGGGAGGAAGGGGAGCACAGAGGCGATGAGGGTAGAAGGGAGTCTGGTGGGTGGGAACAATCTTTCGGACTCTTCCTGGGCTCTCTTCAGTCATCCCCACCTCCATTCCCAAACCCAACCTGAGGAAATTGCAGATGCCCCCGGGGGTCGCCCTAGGTTTGCACATTCGAGTTTCCAAGGCAGTGGGGCATAGAGGGCAGACAGCCCAGCCAGCTAAGCCCTCCCGCCACAGTACGCGTGCATCCCCGCTTCAAGGGGGGCATTTCCAGCCCTAGGGAACAAAGATCGAGCGAGCCCCCGCGCGCAGTGGCGGCGCCCACCCGGGGAAGCAGCAGCAGCAGCAGCAGCAGGAAGCAGCAGCTCCCGGCCTGAGCGGGCTCCGACTGGCCCAGGGCGCGCCTAGAGCGGCGCCCGCCCCGGGCCCCAGCTCCGCCCGCGCCCTGCCTCGCCTTGGACTTTGTTTCCAGACGCTCCCCGCGCCCGCCCGGACCTTGCTCGGCGGCCCCTCCCCCTCTTCCCCAGCCCCTGTGGGCAGGGATGGCAGGTCTCCGGGGATGGCCATGCGGGGCCCGGGCTGCCAGCTGCAGCAGCCCCGCTGGATTCTAGCGCGGGGCTCGGCGCGCGTGCCCCTCCTCCTCCTCCTTACCAGCTGGGTAGGCGGCAGAAGCGGCAGCAGGTTTCCTGGTTAACATGGCCGCTGGAGAGGAAAATGCATTTCAGGGCGGCCGCTGCTGCTGCTGCCAATGCTGCTGCTGCTGCTGCTGCTGTTGCTACTTCTCGCTGCAGCCGCCGCCGCCGCCGCCGCCGCCGCCTCCTCCTAGTCTGCTCTCCCGTAGCCGATCCCCGGCGCCTGGTCGCGTTCTCCAAAGAGCTATACCCACACACACACACTCCGCTGCATCCCCAGGGCCCGGGCCCGCCGCCGCGAGCCCCCTACTCTCTTCCTCGCCGCCGTCGTCCTCCTCCTCTTCCTCCGAAAGCAGCAGCAGCAGAAGCCCCGCCGCCACCCCCCGGCCCATGCACATCACTCCACCCTCCCCCACCCCCGCCGCCGACCTCCCCGACTCCCTCACATAGGGGCACGGAGGAGCGAGCTGGGGAAAGTGGCTAGGGCCAGGGCCAGGCGAGCTGGAGAGCCTCCTCCCAGTCCTCAGACGCTCATGCACTCACACTCACACACACACTCTCTGTCTCTGTGTGTGTGTGTGTGTGTGTGTGTGTGTGTGTCTCTCTCTCTCTCTCTCTCTCTCTCTCTCTCTCTCTCTCTCTCTCTCTCTCTCTCTCTCTCTCTCTCTCTCTCTCTCTCTCTCTCTCCCCGGGCTGAGACCGAGAGCGCTGTCCCCGCCCCTTGCTCCTCGCTTGCCTGGGCTCCCCTCCTCCCAGCCTAGCAGTCACTCAGCAGTGCAAGCCCGTCCCCTGCTCCCCACCCAACCCAACCCTCCCCCAACACACGTACATACATACACACACAGTCGCCCCACTCCTAAACAACTAACTACAGAAATCCCTCCCCTGCCAAACCAGCTGCATATATATTTTCCCCTTCCCTACCAAACTGTAAGCAGCCTTAAACACCCTCCCTCCCTTACAGCCCTCTGCAGAGAGCACCCCCCTCCACCTCTCGCTCCCCTCCACTCCCGTCCGCCCGGGACCTTCTCCCCTCCCCCCTGGCTTTCCTGTTCTCCCAGTCATCTGCAAAGACCCCTCCTCTCCTCCACCGCCCAGGCTCCAGTAACCTCACTCTAAGGAAATATCTGCAGAGCCCCCTCTCGCCCCTGACCAAAAATGCCTCATTTTCTCTCGCCCTCACCGACAACACTGTTCCCCTACTCAACCCCACCCCGACCCTGGCCAAGCACCGCCCCGATCCAAACGAATCCAACCTTCCCAAACCTATGTTTAAAATATCCAAAGTTGTTGTTCCGTCACCTCAGCCAGCCAAAAAACCCACACGGCCCTTCGCTCAGCCAGGCTTGGGGGGGGGAAATCCTGAGAGCCTGGGAGGGGGAAGGGGGCTTCCAACACACCCGCCACGTTTTACTTAGTCAAAGAGACCGCTCTCCCGTCCCTAAGAATGTTGGGGAGGCGGCAGGGCGCGTGTGGGCAGACTGCTGGGGAAGTAGTTGGCCGCAGGTTGCTAAGCAAAAATAAACATCAGAGACACCTCCCATTTCCTTCCAGCAGATACCTCCCTACTGCCTCCACCGTCACAGGGGAAGACACACCTTCCCTTCCACTCACTACCATTAGGGAGCGACACCGGCAATTCCTCTCCCCCCGCAGATTCTGTTTCCCTTTCCCTTTCACTCCATTGACCTTCAAGAGTATTTGGGTCTATTTTCCCGCTACAATTCCTTTCCCCCTTTGGGGGTCACCTCCCCTTCAGCCTAACTGTCACGGGCATGCTACTGGTCCTGAGGAGTTCTTTTCACACTAGGGCACCCAGACACAAGTTACCAGGAAAACACTTCCCTTCGATTCAATTCAAGTCAACTCAAATTAAACAATTTTTAACAACCAACAAGTGCAAGGCCCTGCGCCTGGGGATTTGAGATAGGAGAGAGAAAAGCAGACCTCCACAGGGTACCACCTTTTCACTATCTACTTAAAGAGGCACCTTACCTACCACTGTTGAAATAGAAGATATTCTTCCTTTTCTTCCAACTCCTTCCTTTCACCCACCTAGTCTACACCTAATTCGGCCGTTTTTACCTTTGTCAGCTAATCAATTCTTTGGGTACCCTTTGCTACTTTAGTGAGTGGTCTTGTAAAAAAAAATAACTTGACCAACGTTAGGAAGAAGGGAACAGAAGGAACATCCCTTCCCTTACTATTGGGGGAGACTTAACAGGTATAGTCTTGGGTATGGGTGGGAGCTCTGAAGCCATTCTACATAGGGCTCTGGAGTCCAAATCTGAATTGAACCAGTAGAACATAAGTAAGAGAGAGGCAGCGCGGGTGGCTCAGTGGATAGAGCACTGGGCCAGGAGTCCAATCCAGCCTCGGGCACTTTCTTGCTGTGTGACCCTGGGCAACTTAACCCTGTTTTCCTCAGTTTCCTCATCTTTAAAATAAACTGGAGAAGGAAATTGCAAACCACTCCAGTGTTTGCCAAGAAAACCCCATATGGGGTGACGAAGGGTCGGACACAACTGAACAAGAAGAAGAAGGGAAGGAAATCTTTTCCTTCTTTTTTTTAAATCTTCTTTCCTTCTTTTCATCTCTGTATCCCCAGCAAGGACAGGAACTGTGTTTTGTTGTGTTGTTTTTTGTCTTTGAATCTTCAGCCCCAGCACAGTGGTTTGCACATAGTGGGAGCAAAATAAATGTTTGTTGAACTGAAATGAGTTGCACTAAACGGAGTTAAACTAGATTCTGCAGTCCCACTGTTTTCAAATCACTGTCATGGCAACCCAACCTCCTGATCTCTCAGTGAATTTACCTAAAGCCAAAGAGAAATGTGTTTTCCCTTTTCCTTTTAAATTCAGTCTTCCAGAGTAGAGTATGAGGTTCTTGAAGCCTCTTGAATTTCTATGGGATGTTAAAGCCCTAAAATAAAGACACAGGAGGCAAGGTCCTACATATTTGATGACATTATAATAGGGATGATATATGCAATAAATCCTTTTGTATCTTTTGACAATAAAACAGACTCAAAGTAAAATAAACAGCTAAGACCCAAGATGCAAAGGGTCCTGAGTGATCTAGATGTCACAAAGTGTAGGTAGTTACACTAAACGCAAGTTTTGTTATCATCCCAGCCATCCAAAACCCTAAGGTATCAGGGGTCTTAACCTAGGGTCTGCTGACCAGATTTCAGGTGGCCTATGAAATTAAATGGGGAAAAAATTACATCTTTATTTTTATTAACTTCTAACTAAAACTTAGGGTTTTTTCCTTCAAATATGAATATAGTCAATAAACATTATTTTGAGAAGGGATTTGTAGATTTTGCCAGCCTGCAAAAGGGGTCCATGATGCACAAGAAAAGGTTAAGAACTGCCAATATGAACTGGAATAAACTTTTGCAAACATAGCTAGGGTTTAAAAGAATTAACATAAGGGTAAGAGAAAATTTATAAAACCAGGAGGAAGTCCAGAAATTGCCATAAACTATGTTGCTGTCCAGTCCATCTCTGTAGATTAGGGACTATATGAAAATGACTAAAGAAAAGTACTTAAAGCACACAATGTATTACAAACATATGTTCTAGAAGTGCCAGAGAATAGGGAAGGTCTGCAGTGAGGTCTTAAAGCTAACATAATGATAAAGAGGACAAAGCAGTCCTGGCTCGGCCAGGTTTTTGTATTTTTTGCATCAGCTCAAATGAATTATCCCAAATGAAAAATCTGATCTGAGCCTGTGCATTGAGAGGAAGGTTGCAAAGACACATTCTGCTCTCACCCATACACCTAGATATACTAAATCCCCATGTTTGATTGAATTTTTTGTTAAAGTCCTGTAGCCTAAAGGTAATCTGGAAACTGGAAAATAAATTGGGAAAATATGATGAAATATGGAATCCATTACTAAGTTATATTAGGAAAGAATTACTATAAGCAGAAAATAAGATAGTCTAAAGAGGCCAGTTGGGGGCCAGATGTTTAATACAATTCATGGCAATCACTAAATAGTGAGGTAATACAGAAGGATGCATATATTTTAACATCCCCCTCCCCTATATATAATGTTTGGTTATTTTAACTTTCTCTTTTTTCTTGACAACTCCCTACCTTTATCATTCAAATAGAGTGTGAGAGTAAAAGTGATTGTGACAAATAACCTGACACCTTTTCATTTAGATTATTCATATGATACCCCAGTAGAGTCTTAACATAATAATACTGTCATTCATGGAGAAAAAAAGAGCCCTCCATGCCATAAGTTTATTACAGAGAAGCTCATGAGCACAGAGTTTACCCTATTATTTTACTCCTTTAATGTGGGGGAAAGGGAGCACCAAGGAATTTAATTTGGAAAAAGAGACACAAAGAATCCTATGTATTGTGAACAAAGAAAGAGATGTGTTTTAAACACTTTTTTTCTTCATACATTATTGCTTTATGATGATAAAAAATTATAGCTTCATTTTATTTATTGGTACATCTGTGCATACTTTTAAAAAAATGAATGAATAATCCAGTTCTCCCAGAGCCCTTGCTAGACCTAATTGTAATTTCTACACCTTTGAAATAAAACTACATTCACTTTTTCAGGCTTTAGGTTACTGTTTTCAATCAACTAAATTTCCTTCTGCTAATAATTTTATAGATGCAGACATGTGTTCAATTGCTTTATAGACCAAGAGGTTCACAAACAAAAGTATTTCACAAACATGCCTCCTTAATATCTGTTATAAAAAGAACCATCCAGAACCCTGGAGCCCTTGGGAAGATAGTGTTTACTACCTTTGTGATATAGGAAGGGCTCTGCTCTATCCACATAGAACTGATTACTCTGTTTGCCTTTGACTCATTGAGGTTCATTCAATATAACTGCAGTCTTCCTCTACAGCTATAACATAGTGTAACATATGCCTATGTGCCAATGTATCTGTGATTTCATCAATGTGACTTCTACCAATGCAGACTGAATTCCATCTATTACTATCCATCCAATATCTATATCCTTTTATAATTTGTCATTGGGGGTCTACCTGATACTCTGGAAAAGTCTTTCTTTTACGTTCTCCTGACATTGCAGGTATACCAAGGGAGCCAATGTCCAGTGATTGTCCACTGCTCTGTTACCTATCCATATTTTTTTCCTGGTAACATTTTTCTCTGATGGCATCCTTCACACCATGTCTACATAATCTTTAATTTGTAAGGTGTTGCAAGCAACAAGGGAAGGCAACTCACATTTATCAAGTGCTTGCTATGTGCCAAGCACTGTGCTAAGCATCGGGATAGAAATACAAGCAAAAAGAAATACAGGTCCTGCCCTCAAGAAGCTTACATTCTAATAGAGGGGAA